TTTTGTATGTATTTGTATTTGTACTCCTTCCAAACTGAGCCTCTATGGAATCCATTTTGCAAATCTTGTTGAATAGATTTGCGAGAATACAAGCAAGAATTGAAGGCCAAGTTAGGGTTCTTGAGCAAGTAGTCACAAATCTCGTTAAGGGTATGAGTCGATTTATTTGAAGAYCTATGGCTATGAGTGTGTAAAATGGAAGCCTGGAAGGCTTGTAAGAGTACATCTGCAATCCGCAACAGGTAACACTGATGCACCAATTCCATTGCTTGTGTGGCCACAAGCCTGTTTTCGGTATTTATCCTTCAAATACACATTATATTCATTTACTGCTTTGGTTCAGGGTAGTATCATTCCCCAAAGCTCAGATTGAAAAGATTATAAATACAAATATTTACAGTGCAAATACAAGTTTGAGGGCTTTGCACTGTCTATATTTGTATTTGTACTCTTTCCAAACTTAGTCCAAAGGAAAATATTAGAACAAAATGTGAGAGGGTTAGTCCATTTCCAGTGGATCCATCCAATCCAATCCAAGGACTCCCRATAGCTGGGGTCTTTTTAACATGTATTCAAGAATGGTTTAAAGTAATTTTAAAGCACGTGGATACTCTTAGAAAAAGTACATTGATAACATTGAATTTAGGAATCAAATGACTGTAAGGAGCCATTGGTTCGTCTGTAAGGTGGGGCCGGGAAGTTGTTAATATGGAAATCAACCAACTTGCCTTGGTATTTTTGCAGGGAAATGCAGGGTTTACAGAAAGTAAAATTTTCCTTTGGTAAACTTTTTGGGCCACTTTTTCAATTTAATTTCACCCCTTTCATTTATGTGAGTAAATTACTTAATCATGCAAGAGGAAAATTGGCCAAATATTGTGAGACTAAGATGCCCTTAAAGTAACACTTCTAGGTAAACAACAACTTCCCAGCCAAGGATGGAGGACTGACTAAGGTATAAACATATGGTAAATTAACCAACCAAGGGTGGTTCATTATGGACGCGGAACCGATTCCTGCAACCACCAATTTGGGGAAAAGGGAGGGAGCTATTAATGGTGAGTGGCACCAAATACCAGAAAAAGGTAAATTCCTTAAGAGCTCTCTTATTTTTTGATAAACTAAGCATGGTCTAATAAAATGCTGGGAATGGTAGGAAAATTAAAATAGGCATGTATTCTTTACCAAGAAAATATAAATCCACTTGCTTGGTATAATACATTATTGCCTCGTTTGGCAAGTCTTTTCGCACGGGCTTCGAGCTGTTTAGAAGCCCGGGAACTTGACTTCTGGGCTTTTCYTGTTTGGCAATGGAAAGATCCATTGGAAAAGCCTGAATTTAGGCTTTTTCAGGATGCTTCAAATGAAACTTTTACAATCTTTTAACGCCTTGTCTTTTTTCGGACGTGTGGCATGATGTA